TAGAATACAATCTTGGGTTTTTCATTATCAATTGCTCGGCCACATAGCCTATAAACATTATTGCAAAAGTAACGTTTCATCGATTTGGTAAGCTAGCTGTATGTTAATGGAGAGTTTGTTCAGTTCTATAGCCTCATATCCCCGTTTATTACTCAATTTTGGTCAAAGAATTAGTATGGGGCACCTTTTCGGATTCTTTAGAAGCATTTGAAATTGCTTTTGTTGCTGGATAAAGTTTGATGTTAGCCCTTTTATTACCCGCAAATGTTGAATGTATTAGCACACATCCTAAGTTTTCATTGATGTATGAAGCTGTTGCCTCATGAATTTTCAAAATAAACATTAAGTTGGCAGATTCGCTATCATCACGTTTCTGCGATATTTATTAGGTTATCCCGAAAGTAAACTCCTTTTTCAAATAACTCAAGTTGTTTTTGTTTTCCTAGTAGACTTAGGGTATCATTCGGTAGAGCAGATCAAGCTAAACGGCCACCAAGAATCCGCCCAAGTCGCATTTGATGTAAAGTTGGAAGCTAAAATCGAAGAAAGTCTGTCACTTAAACATTGGATTTATGCGAGAAAAATCCTACGGACCTCCAAATTGAAGACCAAGTTGGAAGTCCATAAGAATTTTTTGGAAGGAGATCAGATTTTAGGGTAGCTGAAAAATCTTGATTTTTGGCTCCAAATTCACCTGGGTTACGACTTAGGTGGATCTTTGTTGGTCTTTTTGTAAGATTGCTCGCTATATCGAATGGTACCCTGGCCCTGAGTCTCTGAGGAAGACAAAAACAGCTCAATTTATTTGAGATTGGATTTTACTTCTGGGACAGCCCAATATTTTCTATCACACAAAGTTTACGAATCCTCTATACACCAATTACTTTACTTCTTCGGTTAGTACAACTGTACTAGAAAGATCGTTGGAGGAAATAAGCTTGATTAACCTTTCGAAAACCCTGTATAGTCATGTAATTATCTGAATATAATCTGTTGTTGATAAGCAGTATTAGTAATGATGTGGCAGAGAGAATAGAATAATCAGAATGTTCTCTGTTTGAGCGCGATTGCAAACGCAACATGAGCTAGCTATCAAAATTCTTATCACAAAGAATTAGTTGTTTGTTATTTGGAATTGTTGTCAAATATGAAATTTCTGGCAAACAAAAGTGCAAAAGATTAATTGATAACTTGATATAGAGCATGGGGCTATTAGTATACATGTTAGTAATGTTATTCGAATCAAAAACATGATTGAAAAATCACACCATTCGTAACATTCAAAAACAAATTTTTGCAGTTTTTACTTTCTAAGAACAGGTCGGACAAAAATTGCTGAAACCGGAGGAGATTGGAGAGTTTTAGAAATTTCAAAGCAAAACCCATTTCAATAAAGGATACAGTGAGCGACAACAATGAATGCACAAACACTTATTCAGCTCAACTTCACAATTTTCAGGTTTGGATTTCGGTGTCAGTTGATCGATAGAGTGCTTAATAAGTATTGAAACTAGTTGCACTTAGCTGTGAACCAAAACAGATTGTAGGCATGTGTTTTGCAAACATGTATGTAAAGTCATGAGTAAGTGCAGGACAGAAGTTTGAGCAAGTTTTGTACAAAAACAAATAAAACATGCTCTAGTAAAGCCTTCGAACAAACAACGGAAATACGTGTGATAGCTGAAAGAGGTTGGGTAAAGTTTTTCTTCAGCTCAGATTATTATTTCCGTTAATCATCGATTCCTTGAACAGTTGGCTATTGAGTTTTCATGATGTTAAAAATTTTTATAAAGACAAAAAAAATCCGTGCACTTATTTAATAATACACGAAGCAATGTATAAATGCTATGCACTTATTTAATAATACACGAAGCAATGTATGAATGCTAATGTGATTTTGGGAGCATTGAATTTGTAACAAAATAGTGCTACACGACAGAGGTTTGACTACAGATAGGGAAGCTTCATTCTATCTCACCAGTCTGAATCAAACTTTGTCCACTTTCAGTCGGGTTTTTTTACTATGAATATGATATAGCATAGTTGCACAGTATCCTCAAACTGATGAAACTGATTGACCTGGATAGTGTATTTCAAAAAGTAATCCCCATTGAAAGCAAGTTCTTTATCGTTTCATGCAAATCTTCTTTGCTTACGAATAGGGCTTTGCTTTCGTTGGATGCTGTGCCAATCATGCTCAGGATATCGCGGAAATGAATAATTTAGGTCAGATTCATAGTCATTATGTAGCAATTTTACTGAACACTAACTCTGAATTTTGCGCCAAGACCAACTCACGGCTTTATTTACTGTTTTGTAGTTGCACATGCACCCAATTCAGATTCATACATATAATCGCTGGAGCAAAAGATGGTAAACTTTGAAAGTAAAATGGATTCCAAACGCTAATTTCTTTTGCTCAAGATCGGTCCTTCGATTTGATACAAGCATGCGGCAGCATCTTCTGAGCTCTGTTCAAGTTAAAAATCTCACAATCATGAATTCTAAAAATTATTTTACAAAAAAACTTAAGTAAAGTTCTCCAAGTCACTTTGAAACTCTTTTCATAAACAAGGTTTGTATATTCATAATTTACCATGATTTTACTTCCCCTGCCTCGCGAACTAGAACTGTAAGGGTAGGAATATTGGGTCGTCCCGAAAGTTCTTTAGAATCAAAATCAACAATTCATAATTTCTTTTTTTCTCAACCGAATTGACTGCTTTTATTTTTTTATGAAAGAATAAGTCATGCTCTTTATAACGACATCTTTGCTGCTGATTAACGATCATCCTTTGCATAGAAAGGAGCGGTAGAAGAAAATTAGACAAGATTCGAGTTTACTGTGTAGGGTCATAAAAAAATCTGAAGCTTGCAATAAAAATCCGGGCAGTTGGTGTTAAGGTTATATTACCTGCTCTTTCTACCTGTGCAAAGCTTGTGCTGATTAAACGTCTCTATTAAAAGTTATGATTTACGAGAAAAATGCCAAAATAAATCAAAATTGCCTTTTTGTATTGCTTGCTCGAAAATCATAACTTTTCATAGAAATGTTCAATCAGCATAAACTTTGCACATTTAAAAAGAGCAGGTAATAGAGCCTACAATACCAACTGCTCAGATTTTTATTGCAAGTTTCAGATTTTTATGACCCTATACAGAAAATTCGAATTTTGACTAAATTTCTTCTACCGCTCCTATCTACGCAACAGATGACCATTAGTAAGCAGTTAAGATGTCATTATAAAGAGCATGCCTACTTTTTCATACAAAAATGAAAGCAGTCAAATCGGTTGGAAAAAATAGAAGTTATGCATTTTTGAATTTGGTGCGAAAGAACTTTCGGGACGACTTAATATATTCCCGTTTCAGGTCTAGCATAAAAGCGTGAGTTATCATTTCGTAGTGCTTATGCACATATAGCAGTACAAACACCACCTGTTCGTACCATTGTATTGAACTTATACGTACCATCGAGTGTGCTTGCTTTAACATTACGCTCTATCTCACGCAAAATGATGAGAGCGTTTATCACAGAGTGTAGTTTAAGAAAGTGCACTCCGCTTTTTGTCATGTAGCCATAGGCGACAGTCCTGATGACGGAATTGGAGCCCCGATAGAATTACTGCTTGCTGGAGATTCATTGAAAAACTTGTAATTCTGGCGATAAGGCCACTCAATGAAACTATCACATCGACCGCCTAATCCGCTTAGGTCCGTTTTACGAAGCATTAGAATACATTATGATAATAGCCTTCATAAATAATCGCCGTAACGTAAGCGTTTCTTTACGTTAATCGGTTTTTATTGCAGTATTTTCGGGGGGGGGGTATATGGCAAAAGATTTTGCAACTCACGGCGATGGACAAAAAACTAGACACTTTCGCACATTAAGAGGCAAAAACAAAGATATGAATATTCATGGTTTACCGATCGTATAGCACCAACTGGTCCCCCTTTGAATCTCGAAATGACTATAAGAAGCTTGAACTGCATACCATCAGGTAAATCCGAAATTTGCTGCAGCCCAATATGGCCTTATGTTTCAAATAGCGGACAGTAACTGAATAAAATCGAAATAAGTAGGGATAAAAAAATGCTATCCGGTTGAGAAACGCTTGGGAAATAACGATTTTAATCATAAAGAAATTAGTTTTGGATAGCTCTTACATTTGCAAATCGTTACTTTCTACTCTAACATTTCTCAATCTCAAACTGTATTAACAGTTTGCCAACTGCAAGATTGCCTGAATCGATAGAATGGTTAATTAGTAAAATTTTTCCCTCTTATTTGACATCGCATTTCTCATTTTAGACCAAAAATTATGTCTGCTCAACCCGGCCAGCAACAAAAATTGTAAATATGTAGCCCTAGTATTGTAGGCTCGCTCTGCAAAAGATTTGATTAAGCTTGTTGAGTAGTAACTCCAAAGTGACTGCATGGTTTGCATCTTTCACATCCATAAGTTCTTTGACTGGAAGCATGTTTGTTTGCTGACATTGAGAGAACCAGCATTTATTAGTTTGGAACATCTGCTTTGTGCAAGATTGCTTCCTTTGCACGTGTCACGGCATTATTTCGGCAAGGATAGCTGACGTTTCTTCTTCAGGGTGCATTTGAGCAGAAACAAATGTCAATAAAAGAAAAAAATTGATGTCTATCTGCTGTTCATGAACTCCTACAACATTTCTTCATTGATGGCAATGTGGTTCTTCCTGGTACACGATTTGATAGTTTTCCCTACGGAAGTTCTGTGATATCCTTCGGATAGGCAGTGTGAAACTAGCAAGAAATTGCATGGAAATCTCGGTTTTAGCTAGCTTATTTATGAATTTGTGGCAAACAAAAACAGTCCTCAGACAAATCACTTGAGTACACTTTAGCTTAATTTGATATGCATCGTATTCGTTCGTCTTTCAGTATTTGTCCCTGGCATAATCGACAGTCTCCGAGAAATCATATATTCAATATGAACCTATATTTACTATGTCAAATAATTTCAGTGTTGCTTGATTTCCTTTGAGATTGACGGCACGCCCGTTTCACGAAGCATTCGTTTGGCTTTGAAGTAACTGTAAAATTTCCATTTTATGAATATTACGTGAACAAGAAACCATTACCTATGCATCATAAATGCGATTGTCATGATAACTAGTAAAACATTGGCGAGTGCGGATACGAGAAACAACCAAATCCATGGCGACTCTGAGAGTTCGCAACCCTCGGGACAGGACGTATTGTACATTCCAGGAGTGTTTGACTGTAACAAAATCCATGAAGATAGCAATGTTTCTTTGCATACGTGAATGAAAGTCACTAAATAACGAACGAGGACATTGTCAACCAGAGCTTCAACTATAGGCCTTGCTTGCTCGACGCTTAGTAAGCCCTCTTCATCTTCAATGTTGAGAGGTTGAACCTAAACTTTTTAGCAGTTTGACCGTTCTGAGTTCTTCTTTTCACTTAGGAAGAACAATGGACATTGTCTTAGCGAAAAATTCGTGATCCTGAGAGAAGGAGCTCTTTGGCAACTCTCAGATTCACTTATTTAATGATTAATTGAACTGACTTGGCTCATCACAGCAAGTGTTGTCGAAACCATCTGCTCTTTCGATGGAGGAACACGATTAGGAGAGCGCTCAGCGAGATTTAGCTAAAGATGCGTACTGTTTAAAAAGATCAAAATCTATCATGTAGCAGGTCTTGGGAATCAGTAAGCACTTTTTCAGAATTATTTTTCCTCGAAAAGGCAACATGAGAAGGCATCGAAGTGATTACTGTCGTCAAACTTGAAACGTTATACCTCTCAATCTTGCAGTATGTGTGTCTAGCTCGTAAGCATTACACTATTAATTTTTCGAAATGATGTTTTCTGGCTTGTTTCATTTTCTTGTTCAAACATAATGCTATAAAAAAATTTCAAGACACACATCGATTTGGTGTGCCTAAAGTGAGATATAAAAATACCACGGAAGGGACTGTTGGTATATCTTTCACCACCTCCTCATGAACAGTTTAGTTGCTTCTCTTTTTGCGAAATTGTAAAGAGAATAATGTCTTACTTGTTTCTTTTTTGTAATCTTAGAAAATTAATGATTTGAGCAGAAGTAAAGAGTGCGATCGTACCTGGGATGCAACATAATTCCTCATTACGCCCATCCATGTTGCCGTGAAATATTCAAGAGTTGTGTTGAAGCATGTAAGGTCCTGCAAGAACTCAATTATATTCTAATAGCATTTCGATTTTGTTTTGTCATATTCACTACCGACTATGAAGATGAGTAAAAAGGCTGTACTAATGGCGCTGAGCCACAAAAAATTACCGAGTTTTTTCGACGATGTTTTTGATAATTCAATCCTCATAGCTTTTCAGCTAAAATGATTGTTGTCTTATCTTGCAGCGCAGTTCTTTTATCTGCTCGAATTCTGACAGATTAGTTTCGGAGGTGAAAATAAGCTTAAGCAAAGTTTGAAATCTCCAATTTTCTGCTACATGCTGGTCCGTTACGGGCCAAGCATGAGTTTCACATTTTATTACATGAGCCAAAAAATGGCCCAAGCTTTGCGGTGATACAAAATATAGATGAAACTTTTTTTGCATTGCATATCTTCAACTTCGCACTTGTTCACGATCCCACTTCAAAAAACCTTTATTATCCATCTCACTAACGCTGTAGCAAAATCAGAATTGAACAAAGATGCATGGTTACAACAGCTTCATCTGTATCAAGTACGTTGACTAATTAGCAAAATGTTACCAGCACAAGATCAGGTCAAATCAGGAGAGAGTCAACATAAGAGCATCGGATGCTTAGTTTGATAAGTAGTCAATTCGGTGTATTATGATCTAAATTATTGAAGAATTCAAGTTCGAAATTTCCTCTAAAAAGAAGATAGCAATCAGGTTTAGTGCATGTTGGCTTCTATCCGACCGAAGTACAGACTTTTTCTGCATTCTGGAGGTGATTCATTTTTGCTTGCCCATATGAGAAATTTCAGTCAGCATATAAAATGGGAAATTTACATTCCATGATCAAAGGTCATGTGATAATGAAAAGGTAATTGTTTACGGTGTCCTACCTTGTCCGTAGTGACTGAGCATTTTGATGAGCACCCCGTAATCTGCTCGGTAAGATAATCACATTGTACAGGAGTGACGATGATGAGTATGCTCCATACCTGGAAAAGTGAGAACCTTAGTGGATCACAGTGAAAAGGCTAGGAATAGGTCATTATTGTTAGACAGCAGAAAAAAAAACCATGCCTACTTTCAATGATCTTGAGAATATGAAGATGTGAAATGATGGGTCAGTCATTTTAGAGACAAAGAATGTAATGGAACATGCAGATAGCATATCGAATGATCTCTTACTCATACTCATCAAATCTGTTTTTTAAATGAAACAAACTCAATGACCTACAATCTTTTTACAGTCAAGATCTCATTTTATTTCACTTTGCCTGCTACTCTCAAGGCGTTCCGAAAGAATATAGTATTGGATTGATCCTAAGCACAAACAAGTAAATAGATTACTCATCCTGTCAATTAGAATACAATCTCAATCGAACTAAAGTATTTTAAGAATAGGAAATGAAGGGTTCAAAAGTTTAAGCTTTTATTACATCACTGGATTTCACTTTTGAGGCATAAAAACATAGAGATATCGGAGTATTTTATCGCAGGCTCAGATATTGATGGCCAATGTATGTCTATTAGTGAAATTTCACTGTCGAAAATCGGTTGATGTAGGTACTTTTACGGAAGAAAACTTTTGAGACTATTTCGCAATCCTATCGTTTTATGTTCTAAGCAATAAAAGTTAGCTTCACAGAGTTGATCTTCGGAAAAATTGCAACATACACAGGCTTGAGTACCATGCGTATTGCTCGAGAAAAAATGAAAAATTTGAAAGTCGACGTTATTTTTGACTCCTGATTTGAGAGGGACTTTTTATATTGCATATGCTCTAAAGAAAAATTGTGGAGGTCCAAAAGCTATGTACTCTAGTTGCACTAGCTGAGTGGGGGCATTGGGAATATTGGATCGCTATTGTAGAGGGATTGATGCATCGGAAGAAACAAAAAGATACAAAAAAAAGAATCAGAGGGGATTAAAAGTGAAGGGCTTCGTGGAACTATGTATCATGGGAGTATCACTGTTTGTTGCTACCATCGATTCAAAGATTATGCCGATAAAGACCGTTGTTTGTCCTTTACATATTAAGCAGATTTCCCTCAGTAAAAGAATTTTGTAGAAAAAAATGAATGAGACATAATGATGGCACAAACTAAAGTCTTCTCGAGAACGGAGGGCAAATCAGAATAGATTGTTTGAAAGGGAAAGGCGGTGATGAGGCTTTGTTAATGCTTAAGAAACAGATCATATTCAGAATAAACCTACCAGTTTCATTATCAGTGACAGAAATATCGATCGTTCTGCGAAAGTGATAGGAGGCTCGCAGCGTTTGCTTTCATGCCTTATCGACGTAACTAGTTGCCAGGAGTTGTTGACTCGAATTATCTCCGGCGAGTAGGCCAAACTTGCTGGGAATTCAGGGCCTTCTTAGGCAGAACCACCCTTCATTAAAAAGTTTTTCAGCACTTTTTGGTGACAGGTTGATGTAAATCTTCGTTTGGCTTTCATAACCCATGAAATTTCAGCAATTTCGCTTTGCCGTGCGTAATGGCTACTGCTGCATATACAACAGTAATCCGCAAAACTGTGCATGAAAAATAGTATTGGGCTGTTTTAAAAATTCTACCCTCTAACATATTTTCTTTTAGCTGCAGGTTTTGAAAGAATACTAATCAATATTCTAATACTATTTCTAATACCGATATTCTAATATTCATACTAATCAACAATGTCATTTCAAGCTCTTTTTCAACTAGTTTTTTATAAATGCTTTCATTTCAATAAGGCTGTGTTTATTCTGTGGTCCTTGAGACTATAGCAGGACAAATGTGAAAATTCTCTTTTTTTTGCTATAGCAGGACAAATGTGAAAATTCTCTTTTTTTTGCTACAATGCCGTGAAATCAACAGGCAGAAGCGGCATTTCATATAGTGGGATTAGTCCTAGAATGTCTGATATTAGATCAAAAAAATTCCTAAAATGGCGGCAGCGAACAATTTGATAAATCGAGAATCCATTTTCTGACACCTTAGAAGCAAAGCAAATAGGTCCTTACGAATTTTGCAAAAGGTTTCATAAAAGACCAGTGAACGTTAGTAGTAGTATTAAACCGACTACTGACTACACAATGGACAGTGCTTATGCGATTTTGCCATATTCCATTTAAGTGATGGTTTTTAGAAGTGGAGGTCTCTAAAAGAAGATGGATAGCGATTTTCGCCTAGAAAATTTATCTCTGTTGCATCAATAAATTTAATTTGCCAGCTATTGCCAAAGAATTGTGGATGGCAGTACAATCCATTACAATTGCAATGATCATCTCCAGAAGTTATGGTTGAAGTTGAAGTTCAAAAACGGCCAGGACTTTTGTAATAACCCAAAGAATTTAAACCAAAAAAAAGTCTTCTTAATCTGCATCTTACGTCTAAATTCGGAATTCCTCTGTTAGAGCTGCCGAGGAGCTGGAAAGTTTCCCTTTGTAATGACTGTTTACATGTCTGATGATGCATATAAGTTTCCTCGAGCTAGAAAGACCAATGGAATGATTTTTTCGAAGCTAATCCCAAAATAAAAGAGCAAATGAATGCAAATAATATTGAAGAGGATGTCCGTCATTCAATTTCCTGGTTCTTTCTAGTTGTTGAGGCACTTCTTTTTCTGCGCTCATTTCACAAAAATATAGACGTTCGATCACTCATAGAAACGACAATGCCTGTAAAATGTAATTCAGTAAAATGAAAATGACAGCTCCTGCAAATTTAGGAGGTTCAAGACAGTCAGAATACCGAGCAATAACAGATTAGAGGCGCTGACAGTATAAAACTAGAAACACCTGTAGCCCTATTCCCACTACTGTAAAGCAACGATTACGGTAACACATTACGCTTGTGGCCGATGAGTTGTATTTGAAGATCTTCCAAGGTTTCTTTAGATAAGAAGTTTTGATGGTTTTGATAGAGCAAGGTTTTTCAAAGAGTTTGACACTGTACTGCTTTCCAACACGGAACGGCCTTTCTGAACCAATCGCCATTGCAGCGCGCCTATGATTGGTTAGCACGTCGACTCTGATTGGCCAAACATGGTATCGAGCGGAGCAAGGGCGAGGAATAGTATTTCAATGCAGCTTTTCTGGAGTCGAACATCAAATCATTATTAAACTTTAAATATTTCATTCTATATTCTTTCACTGTCCAGTCGACAAGTGCGTACGGGAAGATGTCTGGAAGCCGTATAGGCTCTAAATCACTTGCTTTACTGGATTGAACCTGATCATAGTGCTTATGCAATGAATATTCCGGCTTAGTCACTGCATTACTTTGTGTATTCCCACGGATCTGAAGATTGAGAATGGCAGTAGAGCAATCAGCTTGATCACAAAAACCTAACACAAAGCGTAAATGTGGATATGAATAATCCTGTTCTTCGGTAGATAAACAGGAGCGGATCTGAAATGTTCCTTGCTTGTCAAGACGAAGTTTTCAAAGTTTGTCTGAATGCTCTTGACAAGAAAATAAATCAAACTTTTTATGGGAGTTGCATACGTGGACAGCTTTTGTGCAAACTGCTCAGTTAATGAAAACCATTTTCGTTCTCAGGATATTCAAAGGCTTCTGCTTTGCAAGACATTTGCTGTTTTTTTCAGTGAATCTCATACAGCTGAATGCCCTATTTAAGCTTTCTTACGCATATTTGCTGCACTTCGCTATACTGCTGATTTTCTATTCAGGATTCTCCATCTGCAGGCAGGTGGTCTCATCTCGAAATTTTATTTTTTCTTTTAGCTTTCGTATAAGCGGATGCTAAGTTGGATGATATATCATTTTTTTGTCGAAAAGGTACACTATATAGTCTACTTTTCGGAGGTTCAGACTTTTCACAAAGTTTTAAAGGCAAAAATATTTCAGCGCCAACCATCGTAAGATCGTGAAACTGCCTTGCCTTCCGCCTGCGAACAACTTGGAAATTGCCAAATTCAAGGGTTGCAACCTATCAAAGCCCAAGAAACTGGCAATTTCCTCTTTCTCCCAAGTGCAGAGTACATTCAAACTTGGCTATGTTAGCTGTATGTTCATACCACTAGCTCTTGGCGGAAATGTTTTCACTTTTGTAGTTGTTGTTTTTCTTTCACTGCTACAATGAGGTGTGGGTCCAGTGCATATAGACATGCTAAACATGGTTTTATAGTTAAAAAAACCATGAAGTAAACCAGTAATTAATGAAAAAGGCTGGCAGCAAAATGCATTGATTTTGCATTCATTTCAAATTATATTAGTAGTACATTTCAAACCATATGAGTAGCTAGGAATCTTGGTCCGGATTTGAAGGCGATGAGTTTGAACCTTTTGAGCATTGTGGTACTCCACCATATCTGCCTATTGGTCCGAGGATTTTAAAGTAAGATAAAGCAATAGAAATTTCTTCTGAGTGAGAGCTGAAACTGGGATGCTATTCAAAATTTTACCGGACCTGTTACGCAGATAAACAAAGGACGCGAGAATTTTTCATATCTAACTTGAATTTCTAGGATCCACTATTACACAAGTAAAACAGCTTCGCAGCTTTATGTGGACTATCTTCTTGTTACTCGAAGAATCCTTTTATAATTCCCCTGATTCAAGGCATAATTCATTACAAGTTACAGATATGATCATTGGTCAAATTGTTGCCACACAGCATAGATTGAATCGATTATGATCTACGTCAATAAAAAAAGACGCTATTGATTGGTTAATTTTTCGCTTATGGCGGCTTGCATACTTGTTTGCGTCAGTTTATGCTCTGTTCCTGATTTCTTATTGAAATGCTTTTATTCTTATGTTCACCTTCTGCAGCTTCAACTGCACAATTCACACACCTTTTTTCCTGTGCTTTTCAATATCTTGATTTTCCGCAGCTTGGTTGAGGAAAAGCTCAAATAAATGCTCCCATTGTAGCTTGTTCTCAATCAATTCTCCGTTATATTCTGAAGAGATGATATTCATCTCGTCGTTTTTTCAAGTAGAGTTTCGAATGCTCTTTACACAGTTGAAATTCTGAGATTCTTTCGAAATCCGGACAGCTAAGATTTTATTGAACATTTCACGGATTAAACATTCTTGAAAAATATGCAAAGCAGACTTTTTTATCATCATGGAAGAAATATGAGTTTTACGAGAGCAAGCACTCTCACCACTAGAGCAAGATCGCTAATATTGCCCTGCATTTGCGAATAGCAATTGAATTTCACAGGAGCTGCTGTTTTTTTATGCGTTCAACATGAGAAGATGGTGCAATTTATAAGCTGGATTATATGACTCCTTATTTCAGAAACGCCTTTTGCCGGATCTTATTTCCTCACTCACAAAGATATATAGCGGTGCTGGAGAGTTAGTATCAAATATCTTGAATATCTATGATATTCATATCTATAATATCTATAATGCAATATCTATAATATTTATAATTTTGCTCTTCTACGATTAGGTTCTCTCACAATTTCTTTTCGACTCAAACGAACTACTATTTTCTTTGTCTTCTTGTAATGTCATCACTACTGGATAGACAAATCAAGCTCTAAAGAAATCCAAACATTTGCCGAAAGTTCGATCCGACTGAATTTTGGCAGCCAGAAATATTCAATTACTTTATTTCTTCGAAGAAAGAAACCTGGGGACTTCCCACCATACTATACATATCAGTATCCATATATTTCCTACACTTGCTGTATTTTTTTCATGGCTCAAAATCACAAGAAAACGAAAATCTTCATAGTCCAGCAAGAGCAATCCTGAGCTTTTCACGTCAATGATAAGACATTGTAGACCTATCCAAGTGCAACATTTTCATCTTTATGACGCCAGTTCCCGAAAGATATCAAATTTAGGAGTAACTTAAAAAGGCGACTCATCGTCTTTCAAATCCACTTTTCTTTTTCTTTTTAGCTATGAGAATAGACTAGCAATAATATGGATGCATGATGTGAACAGTATATGCGCGAGCAAATCGGTAAGATGTTGGCAGAAAATTTTGATTTCGCAAACATTTTTGTGATGTAATGCAAACTCTATGCTAATGTTTGGAAGCAACTTGTAGAGCTTGGTCTGCTATACAGAGCAGTAATTCAAAAATTTGATTTTGTCCAAATTGGAAAGAAATCATGATTACTCACTCTAGCCCTTCTCGTTTTCGTATCTTTCATACAATTTGAAGACGTGCTTAAGTTATTCAAATTACATTTACTTTATTGTGAATGAAACCTCTTTCCAATGGTAGGAAATCACAATTTTTCTCCATAGTGATCATAACAATGAGATATAAGCTTGAGCGTACGTCATGCCTGTTCTAGTATTCACTCATTTATCTGCAGCTGTAGTAACTAAGTACGAGGAGAATAATATAAGGCAAGTAGTACGTTATATCGAGACCACTTGAGCCAGAGCTCGGCACGAGCTGGCACCAGGAAATTTTTTGAAACGAAGTCCCCTTTGATTTCGAAAGTTTCATACGAAGTCCCCTTTGACCGTAAACCTAAACGCAAAAACCCTAAAAAAACGAAACGTCGACTAAAAAAACGTTGGAATGTTCGTGTCTTTTCGGCCACGAAAAGATACCCCCCTTCGCTTTTTGTCCCAAGAACGGTATTTAGTTTGACCCGTGCCAGCTGGTGACAGGCCCTGTCTTGAGCGGATGCATATTCCTCTGTAAATCTTCCTGTCCGTTCTCTTTTCTTGAAATTCTATGCTGCTAGGCTTCGGAATGTGCTAACTGGATTAGAATTGTTTAAACGAGATGGAGGAAATATGCAAAACCATGCAGATGCAGATGTGTTCGGAAATTCAAAGCACTCTTTTACGTAAAGCAGAGCCTCTATATAGGCGTAATAACTAGATTGTATTTCCTCTACAAGCAATGCTTTCATTCAGAAATTTTCCATGTTCTTATCAAATCCAGGGCTCGGCAGAAGGTGGCTTTTCGAAAATGCAAAGAACGAATCCCCTTGACTTTCGCAAAATTTTACGCAGTCCGCTTTGATCCCAAACTGCAAAAGTAAAAAATCCCTTGAAAACGAAGCGTCGAGTAAAAAAACGTAACCTAAGTTGTGCTTTTCGGCAACAAAAACGATATCCCTTTTGCTTTTTGTCCCAAAAACGATATCCAGCTTGCTTATAAGCCACCTGTGCCCAGCCCTGATCAAATCTCTGTGCTCAAAGGACAATGAGTCTCTTTGATTTGGCCTTTTACCTTTCAGTAAGTCCTTCTGTATTTTTGCATGAAATTGCGAGTGGCAGAAAGATATTACCAAAGGCTATGTGAGTTCATAGTCATTGGATTTTGCTTGCCGTTAGAAGAGTTGCGCCCTATCGTGGCAATTAAGCTCCCGCTCATAAATGTCCGGCGGACCTCGCAAAAAAACCATCTTGTTGGCAGTCGTGGGAATAGCTCGGCTTTGGGAGCTAACGTTCTCTTACATACTAAATGAAACTCGCTTCAAGTGCTGAGGTATTTTTCAATCGATCTCAATATTATCTGCCATTTTTTTCCCTTTCCAACCGACAATCTTCCTATATTCATGCCTAAATCCTGTCTGAACATCTAATTTTCTTATATAAACTCCATTTTCAATCTCGACTGTGCAAGACATCGCATAATATGAATTTTCGTACTTTGTTTATCATTCTGCTTGAAAATTATTCCAGAGTGGGACGGATACCGCTAGGAGACGATGCCTTCGACGGCTCCCGTTATTGAACGGACGTTCAAAGTGAGTCATAGATTTCATCAACTGACATTTTCGAAGGAACATATTGCTCCATTGTTTCTTTCTTCCTTCATTTTCGATTCTGAGACTTCTACCTTCTCAAGATATCGAAAACAAGCGACCTGTGGTTTCATCACCAAAGAAGTTTGAGGTTTTACCTACCCATAACTTTTGTCTTTATAGTGTTTGAGAGGAAACATTCATTTATTTTCATTTATGGCACCCAGTGCGCTTCTCTTACAAAAAATAAATCCAATATCCGAAGCTGACAGAAGTGTCCGCTTTCTATTTTTATTGGGCTCAAGTACAACGCTGTGGCGAGTAACCTGAATAATGATGCAGATTACGTTCTCACTTAGTAATTCTAAACATTTCATTTTCTAATTTAGTCGAGCAAAATTCCTGCATAAACATTTTTCAAGCTACTCTGAAAGTCAATAAAATTGCTATCTGGGTTAAGGGTGTTTGTTGCCCCCAAATGAGCAACCACGTTACCCTTGAAAAGCTATTGTGGTAAAAGATTATGTTCAAATTGCTATTCTTTTTTTTTCGAGGGTTTGCGTCACATGGTGAGTCCCTGGAAACGATTTTGTCCCGAAGTAAAACTTTTACCAACATTTGAAATACCCACCAAATAGAAAAACTTCAGTTTTCGAACTTCCACCGGTAGCCCCTTACATGATAGATTGTCTACTTCCATAATTTTGGATACGGCTAATTGCTTGGGAGTTGTGCTCTTTCTCTTTTGTCTCGAGCTGAAATTAAACTTACACTCATGATGACAATGTGGCTCTACACCGAACTCGCAGCTAATATAGAATTTTTCATAGTATCACTATTTCTTAGCCAACCTTAATCAGACGCTGATGATTTTTTTAAAAAAACTGAGAGAACCTTCATATTCCATTAATGTAGAAATTTTTGGAGAATTTTATGTTACATCACCAAAGCTTGCTAAATTTTCTCGACGTTTCTCGACGTATAGTACAGTTTTCGTATGTAGTGCACATCCGTAGCCTCCCCCCCCCCCCTCCCCTCCCCCCAGGTATGGTTCAAAATTTGCCATGTTTGTTTGGTATTTTGCCTGTACGATTTGTCAAAGTGAAAAGAGCATAACTTTGATTCAAATGGCTTGGCGGCTGGAAGGCGGGGCTTTGTGACCTAGTTAAGGCCGCCCGCCCCCGCTACGCAGTTTACGTCTCTCTCGCGCGCGTGCTCTCTGATCATTATCTAGCCTTAATTAGGTCACGAAACCCGGCCTTCCAGCCGCCAAGCTAGTTGAATTAAAGGGTATGTGCAAAACATTTCTATGAAAATGGTAGTAAAGGTTGACTCCTGATGTTTAATCTATAGTCTTGAAGGCACCTGGGTCCTAGTCTTACCTCGGGAGATGTTTTTGCATTTCTCTCGAACTTTTTGTTTCCGCACGTGGTGTGACCAGTATATCAAATTTCATGCTCTCGTATATACTTCATGTGCATTTTATTCAAGGTTTACCATTGGAGGATATCTTGCACAGCTAGCTACCTCGCAGTGATGGTGGGCGAGGAATTGCAAAAAATATTATTATGAGTTGAGTCGGGGAACGATTCATAGGCTTTTGACTCATAATCTGTTCTCAGAATATAGATATATACGGCGTTGCCCGTTAAAAGGAATCTTATATCTATCAATGCTCTTGAATGGCAGTAATATGACTTATCGTAAGGGCTTGCCACTCTGTAATCATCTCGTACCTTGTTGAAGGTACCGAGCTTAGCACAGAAAGCTTCTAACTGTCTGCAAAGATGCTTTGTCGATGATACGATGAAAATTTTTTTTAGCAAATAAGGTCTTTGCTGCGAAGGCTTTCTCCCAAGAAAGAGAAGTAAGCAAGAATGCAGTTGTGTCCTAGTATGTTCCAGTTGTATCACTATCTAGCCCCTGTTCCACGAGAAACTTGCAATAAGTGATGAAGTCACTGCACAGGGACGAGAGGTATTGGAATAATGAGGGATTCATTTCGGACCTTTGTTTTGCGGACGATGCCTTTTTTAAAACAGTATTTTCGAAGCAGAGACGATGCTGAAGGAGGACAAAGAAGTAGGGAAGAAGGTTGGATAGCGAATAAATTGGGAGAAGACTTGATTCATTGAGATTTCCGTTTGCGGAAATACGGAAATGAAACTTGAAGGCATTCCCATCACGGAGAAGTTTATGCGATACATTCAAGACTTCTGCTGAACAAAGAAAATGATTGAGGGAAGAAATCAGCAGGAGACGAAGAGCAGCCTGGGGTGTCTTCAAGCCTCTGACTGACTGATTTGGAACTTCGAATGCGCCTCTTCAGTTCAACCCTTTACCCTTGCCTTTGTATGCAGCTGAGACCTGAAAGAACGAACTCCGCCATTTTGGGCCACCTCTGCTGACAACTGGTCCTTTGCGACGCTGTTGCATGTCGTTTGAGGACCAGCAATCCGCGGATGCGACCATCGTTTCTCGCTTTTGGCACTGCAGTGGGTAGCTTTGCACGGCTTGATGCGATTCAGCCTCAGAGCGCTTGAAGGCATCGTCCGCTCAAAGTGTGGTTGATGAGATTTCGATGCTACCAGTAGTGGGGCCCCCATCTGTATACTTGCCCAACTCGCGCTGCCAGAAGTTGCTTCCAAAGCGAGAAAATTGCTTCGAAAATCGCTTTGTGTGACGCATTTGCCACGTTGGCTCCTCTGAGTGAGCATGACATTCATCCCGCCCCTTTGTCGACTGATATTCAGAGGGACTTGAGGCCTTGGAACGACAAATCATAGAAGCCGAGATCAAGGTGACCGTTGCCTTTGAGCGCAGTTTTCTAAAATTCAACCGACACAAGCAACATGTCATCGGGCTTCGCAGTACAGAGATGAGAAAAATGTCCCGTTTACATGTTTCAGCTGAATTCGTTGCTAATGCGTATTGCCTACGGGCCGGTCACATCATGAGAAAAGCAAACTACTCTGGAAACATCAAGCTGGATTCCTTTTAAAGCAAAACGCCTCCAAGAAAAGCAGCGAATTAGACAGTATGGACCAGCTAGATCATGAGTAGACGGCTCTTGCATCTCTGGTACTCGTGGAGATACGACCAGCAGCAAGAAGATCGTGGATGTGGATGCCAGAGGCAAGGGACAGGCTCATATCGCAACATTGGCTGAGGTTCGCATCGCCACGTAAAGACAAGTATCTGAGCATCTATATATGAAACAAGAGGAGTCTCATTGAGACGGTAGAACAAATAGTGCTTTCCATATGCTTGTTGAAGGAAGCGCCTTGCTTTACGTGCCGCGATTTAGGCAAAACGCGAAATCCTGTGGCTTGCTAATTCGCACTAGGTATGATTGTGCTTGACTTTATTTCACAGAATATCAGAAGATAAAACCAACAATGGCACTGCTAAGAAAAAAAGAGAGTTTTCCAAAACCCGTTATCTAGCTGTTTGTACATAATCTTAAAGGTGCTAGACTTTTCAGGACCACATTGCAGTTCTCGCTATCTAATGTTTTTAGTATTGGCGTTACGATTTCTTATATATTAAATGAGTAGATAGATTAGATAGTTTAGATATAAGAAGGATTCAGTCTTGTAACTTCAGGTGCAGAACCATGAAAGCGAACCTTTCTCGACTTTATTTGCAAGCTTCATCCATGATGCCAAGAATAATAAAACTGATCGCTAATTATGCAGCGACCACAACCCATTAGCTTCATAAATACAACTGTGTGGGCAACAACCTTAGTCATAAACACGATTTGAGCTCTTCGTCTTCCTGTTTCCTTGTTAATGTCGTAGTAACGCTCATTAGATGCTTCTTATTCTGCACTCTCATGCACAACAGCTTTCACTACGGTGCTATAGCTACAGCTTAACTTTTGAATTCTACATTATGTATCAATCTCAAATTACACAAGTAGGCACGAATGGATAGATGACATAATATGTAAACAAACATATAGCGAACACATGCAGCTCACTTTCCCTGCCGTTTTTTCTATTTGACTGCTGTTCCATAAATTGTGTTTAACTAGACTTGCATAGAAAGAAAGTTGGAGTGTCACACGCTGGATCGAATAGATGCACTCACTATTTCATTATGAATTCAATGACTTTTACTCTAGCAAAGATTTGCAGTCTGCATACCGGCTCAGGGGCTAATTCTTTACTTTTTGGGCAAATAACGGCCTCACACTTAACAGATCAAAATTAGCAAAGTTTACGAAAATCAACATTGAAGAAACCTGGGCATGTGTCTGTATTGCAGATAAACCAGCACGATTGAACCGAACGGTCAAATGCGAGAGCGCGGTTGGCCCACATATGGCACACAGTGTTGAAAAACATTTTGGAGATCTAATATTGAAAAGTCAAGTAACTACAAAAGAAAATCGAGCTCAAAGTAATGTTTGCATATAGCTTTTAATAGAACACAAAAAAGGTTGCGCTGTGTCTGTGGTTTCTGCATCATATGTATATACTCAACCATTTTCGCACAAGTACTGAAGACGCCTTGGTAATCTAAGTTATCAAAGGAAAATAAGATATGTAAAATGTAAGAATGGCTTTCGAACTTTCAAGTCTGTCTCAGTCAGAATGTAGCAAAAAGTTCGTGATGAGAACCCGCATCGTCATGGTTTTCTTTCACTTATTATTAACCACCTGGCATACTCGGCTCCGCCCGGCCCTGCCAAAAACGATAAAAGTTCCATTTCTATCCCTGTACACCTTTACCTGTGCCCACTTCTACATGCAATTCCCTATTCCCGCTGTGTTAATAATCAGTATGCTCACCTACCTTCCTCACCAACCTCCCAGCCCCGTAGCTGAAACTTTACACAAAAAACAACAATAAAATCGATAAAAGTAAGGATAATTCTAAAAACTGATGGCGTTATTCGGCTATCCGGGCCCTAAATTGTTTTTGAGGTGGATCTTGCTCAAACTCGGTATATGGGTGTTATTCAAGCCGCTGATGACGAATATCGTAGTCATTTCGCGTGGTAGCAGGTAAAAATCATGAACCTGCCTGAAACCTTGGCAGGGAATTACCTAAAGTGCTGTTTCAAGAATATCGTGCTTAATCCCCACGATAATGGCAATTCGTGTGGTATAAAAGTTTCCCACACCGTAATGCTTTCCCTTATGGGACCACGGCCGCGCGCGATACACCCTTCGGCGGCCTTTGCCTAAGCAAAAACAGGGGGGGGGGGGAGATTTGCCGCGTGCGTTACGCGTTGGGACAGGTTATCAGTATGGCGCTCGAGACCGCCATGTAAAACGACCGTTTCCCCGTTTCGTGAATATCTGGGATCTAAATTGGCCCGAAAGTGAAAAAATGTCCATTCAAACCCTGCAACTCACCATAACTTCACAATAATGCGTTGTGACAGCGTGCAAGCATCATATTCATAAGCAGTATTCTTGTGAACCGTTACAGGTAAGGTTTTGAGCAAATTTGGAACTTCGACTCACCTACTACACACCCACCGTAACACAAGAAAATGCGCTATACTGCGAAATCAGCATGATATTCATGTTCGACGCGATAAATGACCACCATAGACGAAGTTTAAAGCGAATCTATGTTTTTGATCCCAACCGTATAACCACCATAACTCTATGAAAAGGTTCCAATATGCAGAGAGAGAATGAAATTCGTAATCAGCATGTCGAATAAGTTCTCTGGACCGAAGTCCGGCCGAATTCATGATTTTGACTTTGTACCGTACACCTACCGTAGCCATACGGGGAGAGGTTCTGCGAAGAAAGTGTGATATCTGTAATCAGCATGTAAGATAGTGTACACGAAGTCTAAGCAAGCTCTACGACAAAAAAATTTTGGGGCCCGGATAGCCGAATAGCGCCAAACTAATAATGTACTCGTAATTAGCATGCTCGATTACCCCCTTGTGCCAAATCCCACCCCGTAGGTGAACTCTGTAAAAAAAATCGATAAAAATCGATAAATGTAGTGGATAATTTCAAAAACTGATATTGTATTCGTAATCAGCATGCTCGATTACCCCCTGTGCAAACTCGTAGCCCCGCAGGTCATACTTTACAAAAAATCGATAAAATCGATAAAAGTAATAGATAATTTTGAATACTAATATTGTATTCGGAATCCCCATGCTCACTTACCCCCCCCCCCTATGCCAACTCCCAGCCCCGTAGGTGAACTCTGCAAAAAATCGATAAAAATCGATAAAATCGACATCGATCGACGACGAAAAGTAGCCTATTACACCGCCTGGGCCCGAAGTGTATGTGTGCCAAGTTTGGTCCGGATCGGTTCAGAAATGGAATTTTCTATTCGGAACATACGTACGTACAGACAGACATACAGACAGACAGACAAATAGACATTCAGCTTTATATATAAGATCATTGTATTGTTGTTTGTCACCAAATTTCATTTGCAAAAACGGCCTCTTTCTTTTGATCTTTCTGTTTTGTAATAATCGTCAACTCAGGTAGTGGTCGATCACGTTGGAGGAACAGTGGCTGATGAAGGGGTGGAACTGAAGGCCCTTCAGCAACAACTTGAAGAGGAGAAGGTAACTTAACGATATTGTGATTGCCTCAAATGAAATTTTTATTTTAGGGGAGGGTGCGCGTTTTAGAAGATAAGATCGGGCGCATCACTCACCTGAGGGTATGTCATGAGACCTTTTTTCGATGAAAAATTTAACCGATGGTTTAGGTGCCGCCCACCTACCAGCGGCCGGTGCAGGAAGTGAAGCCCCTGCACAAGGAGTACGGAGCCAGGCGTGGTGAGCCAACACTTGATGGAGTTCCCCATCACGTGTTGGTTCACCACGCCTGGTTTCGAATCTGCTCTGTCCACTCCTGGCTGAATGGAGCTGGTTTTTCCAGCTCAACGAAAAGCGACGTACAAAGAAACGCGGCAGCAGGAAATGAAGCAGAACATGCGTTACATCTGTATTCAGTGTTGTTTTTGTATCTTTATATTCTTTTGTTGCTTTTGTAGTGCATTGCCCAATTCGAATAAATTTTTTCTTTTCGAAGTTTTTTGTGCTTGCTAAGATGGTCGTGTGCCATTGCAAGTTACCGAAAAGCGTTTTTTTTTGCATGATTTGCGTCTAACATACTGTTGTGAAACTCATTTTATACATGCTTCGCACTTCGCCATTCTTTTCTTATTCTACTCCATTCACGAAGTAACATAGCAAATTTGTGCACTTTTGACCCTTGATCTCTTTTTCATGAACATCTCGTTGTAAATGAGCAACTATCATTGCAACAGTTCTTTCATCATTCGAGAGTCTGGTTGCTCAAGTTGTTTCCATTTACAATCTAACATTGCAAACTAAGGATTTGAGTGTTGTATGTGGTTGTGAAACCACGCTTTCTCATGGAGTCACATTGTATGTAAGATTTCTTTCTACTCTTCTCAAATTATTTTGGAAAATCTAATGTGGCGAAAATTCGCCACATTAGATTTTTAAAACTACATTGAGCTCCTGAGCTCCGCATGCACCATGATTCTCAATTTCGTTGCTTTTTAAAAAAGTGAAAACAGATGAACCTTCGAAAGATCTTTGCCCGTTTTTCGCTGAAAAGGTTCATGTAAAATTGTGCGCATGAAATAAATTTTCAACCTCAGTCTCATTATCTCCTCCAAGGCTAGACTTCCTCTTCCTGCCAAGTAAATAATAATGCTCCTGAAGTTTGTAGGCAAAATTTTTGCAAAATTTGCCGTCATCCTGCTCTCAATCGGAAGTTTCCTTCGTATTGAGGAGTAAAATTTTAGGATTCTCCTGTACCCTAATGTGTACTTGTCTAAAGCATCAAAGAGTGCGACAGATTTTTTTTGTTGCAAGCGTCATTTATCATTTAAATTCCTTTAGAATAGTTTGAAATAATACAACAAATGCAAAGTCGAATATATATAAAGAATCTGATTAGAAACAGCCTTCGATGTTCCTTCTAACTTTGAAATACTTTTCGTTCAGGACATCTTCGACAATTTATAGCAAATCTCAAGCTTAATTTCTTTCTCTCTACTAAAGTCGTTTCCATACTCGTTTTCTCGAATTTCCATCTATGAACATTTGGGCAATCCATTTTGAGTATAAGATGAGACGAGAAATTCTTGCTGGTAGAATATCGGTGAAAAGGGTACTGTTGTAGTTTTGTAGCAAATTTTTATAGTGATTGTTTGCAGACGCAAAATTGCTAGTAGGAAACTTAATCGAGCCATCTCCGAAAGTAGTATAATGTTTGAGTACGATTATTTAGTAACGAGTAAATTGAAGTAAATCATTAGTATGCAAGTTAAATTATTGCTTAACAGTTAAAGGTAGATGAGACTTGCATTGCTGCAAAGATGATCTTTCTTAAGATATGTGCATCGTAAGTATCGCTTAAAAACTTCATTGCTGCATCCCTTCCCTGAGACACTAACTATGATCTGGCGACTAGTTAGCTGCTTCTGATGGGATGCTCCTTAATCATCTATCCTCGAGTCACTTGTAGCTCAATACGTGAATCTGTACACCTTGCGCGGCAACACATACACGCCAATTCTAGTAATTCGTCAGCGAAAACTTTTTAGTTTAACAAACTGAAGAAATGCGTACTGGTTGAATTCAGTTTTAGGTTGAAGTTCAGCTGTCCTCAGTTGCACCACTCATTTTCATTATTTTGTGAAAGGTAGTGTGCTGTGATTAGGTCACACGAATAACATGGGTGCTACATAGGCATAATGTTATCGAATCTGAAATTACGTACTAAGTGCTTCCTTCAATCTGTTGATGCCTTTCAAATTACTCTCTGAGCCGTTTGATACGAGATGACATCAATATTGTCTTCATTTCCTACCAGAGGATGTTGGAGTCGATTTGAGGGTCTGCTGCTTTCGAATACGGGGACTAGTGCCATTCTTCTTCAGAAATTAGAATGAAATGGTCATATGTCGTCCGAATTACTTACTCGCTTACCTTACACCCCTTATTATGTGAAGATATTTTTCGATTGTCTGCCAAAGGATTTTCTCGTTACATGTAATAGTGACATTCATCTTATTCCTTCACGTGCAATGAGCCAAACCGAATGCGAGAGCTGATTGTGCATGTTTTTCCAGTGTTTCCTTCTTCTTCTTCTTCTTCTATGTCTTACAAGTTATATATTATCTTCACCAGTGAGCAAACATCTCTTGAGTTTATAATCAGCACAGACGGCGTACAGCGATTATTCTATATTCCGTGCCAATTATCATATGTTTTTATGTTTGATCTTCCACTGAACTTCATAGAACGAACGACGGACAAGATAGATCGCTTTTTGAGCGGTTTGTCTACCCACTTTTTTCCTATCGTCTAAACATATCTTTGAACAAAATTTATCCGTCTTTGAAGCTGGAAAGTTCAGAAATCAAATGAGGTCCTGACTCTTCAAAAGTGCTCAAGGAAAATTCGGTGCATCTTAATGTTGCTATTACAAATTGCATTGAGTAGGTTTGGAAAGTGATTGATCCGCTTGAATTACTCTATCCAAAATGATTCCAAGCGCGAATAAGTTTCGTTGATTTTGCAAACCGTTAAATATCAGGATGTCTCAAAATTTTTTTACCGTTTTTACTACGATCATCGTCTTTTTGTGTCCTTCCTTTGATTGATGCGGCTTGGCTAACCATTCGACAGAGCAAAGCAAGCTCTACAAATCGACTGTTAAACCCAAAACAACTTAATTCCTTATCTAACTCAAGCATATGCTTAAAATATCGGACACTCAGCTGTACACGTTACGTATTTTTTCAATGGCTAGAAATAGAGAAAAATAATTGGAGTAAAATGGCAAATTCCGCCCCTAGATGTCCTAAATTTTGCCATACATATGATTATTTAGCTCATCCATTCAGAAGAACGATCATGTACTTGTGCGCATTGCATCTGCCCTCGATAAATGTTGGTTTTCAGCGTGAAAATGGTAAAAAATTCATGAGACGGCCTAATACGAATATTGTTTTCTAGTTAAACTATTTACAAGTTAGAGTTGGAGCACAGCTTCTGCACTCAGAGCTGTACCATCCTACACACTACATCTCTCTCATATGCCCAATGAAAAGATAGACGGGTACATGCATCTGAATTTTGCCGGTAGAAAGTCAGATAGATGAGCGTAAGATAGAAAAAAAAGCCGTTCTAATAAATTAGCTAGAATTTTGGTAAATGTGACTTGAACTTGATGAAAACAATTGGGTGATCACTGAGCTTTATCGGAAGTATGTTTTTCCTAGATTATCTGACAAGGGAAGTGTTTTTGAGTGGACTTTTCATATGGAATCAATGAAATTTAAAGAGCTTTGAACGATGGTTGTAAATCTATCTTCACTATCACACCTCTATCTGATGGTTGTTCACCGATATACGAAATGAAAGTATGGTATATGACCGTGGATGAAAATGGCACCGTGCAAATTCTTTTCAATTAATAGAACTCTGATCAAAGTCCACGTTCATGCTCTTTTGATAAGCAAGTTGTTTTTAGCTTGATCCCCCAAAAGAGCAAGCTGTACTGCGTCGAATGCATGCTAGATTTTAGAGTTGTTTTCGAAGCTTCGAGGTTTTACGTCCACTTGAACTTAGTTTAAAAACAAAAAGCCTTCGAAGTGGACTAATATTTATTCGATCGACCTGCAATGAGAGTTCAGGTCTGACCGAAGTTCAAGCCTATTGCCGAAACCCTCTCGCTCTCTACCAAAGTAATGCCTTTAGTGCAGTTTTTCCTCTTTCCAAATAGAGTTAGCGGTGTTTTTCATTGCTCTCGGTTGCTCCAATGGCATCGTATTTTATCTTCTTGGTTTGCCTAATCGGGTCTTCTCCAATAGATGCGTCTGACGCGAGCGTTCGTGCGTTGTAAGTACAAATCGACATCCAGTCTGCCTTGTTTTGAGCCAATCTGTCGTCCTTCGTAGCTCATTCTCACTGTCTGTCTTGTCACTAACTCTTTTGAAGCTGTAGCTAAACTGCTTCAACACCATTTTCTAGAGCAAAAAGAAGACGTTTTCTTAGCGGCTAGGCGTTTCTTGAGCAAGTTGTGTACTATTGGAGTCATTGGTCTCTTTTAGCCTTTGGGAAGAACACCACGACCTTAACGAGTAAACGCATTAAGATAATCTATGACAGGGGTTGAAGCCGACAGTAAGCTTAGTAAATAGGAATGTATGAATGGCAACACATATCATTTCCTCGTAGTTTACCTAATAAACTACTTACATCAGCAGAATATCTACCACTAAAAGCTATAAAATAAGATATCCAAGAAATTATCTAAGAAAATAGAAAATAAAATTTTTTTATTACAGATATTAGAGATTTGCTCTTACAGATATTAGAGATTTGACTCTCAATATCAAAAAATCATGAAGAATTTGAAAATAATAACTATGTATAAAATAATTATTTACTTAATTACTATATAATAATTATTTTGTTAACACCAAAATCACGAATATTAGGTTGAAAGACCAGGTCATAATACCAAAAGCACTCAAATTTTTGATGTTTCAGCAACTCTAGCAATCGAAATATAAAAAATAGCTATGTGCTTTTCTTTAACGACTATCGTTGCGATATGGCAACAAGAAATATTGCTTCAATTATTTTTTGAAAACAGCAAGATGATTTCGCTAAAGCAGGGCTCGGCACCAGCTGACACGAGAAAAATTTGAAAGCGAAGTCTCCTTTGATCCTTAGAATTTCGTACGAAGTCTCCTTTGACCTTGAACCCTAAAACCCTCAAAAAATGAAATCAACCAAATAAACGTTGCAATTTTTGTGTCTTTTCGGCCACAAAACTATATCCTTTTTGCTCTTCGCTGTTATGTCACTTTTGCTATTAGATTGATAGCTATAACGCTATGGACGAGCTTACAATGAAGAGATTTCATAAAGCAATTCTGTCAAGTTGTCCACAAGAGCATATCACTAAATCCGTCAGCATGCGGACATGCGGTTTTGATGGTGG